AGAGAGAGAGAGAGAGAGAGAGAGAGAGAGATTGATAGATGCTATATACATGTTAACTCTCATTTCAGTTTGCCTTTAACAAAACGATAGACCATTCCACAGTCTTCTAGGACATGCAACCCATCCAAAGATGGAATTTTAATCCATGTCTCATGTGACACTGACACAGTGACACACCCGACAGAGGTCCAGATGCTAATGAGGGAATAACCTTCATACACATAGGAGTTATTTCATATCCACTCTCACCAGGAATCCTGGCCTAAGTTTTGAACTCACTCTATTTATACAAAGAGAAACCAAACAAAACGAGAAATACACATTAAATTCTTAAGAGTTTTTAAAATGCAGCGATGACTCGGGTGGTAAGAGACGTGCCCGCCGCTGACACAGGGGAAAACTGACACGCCTCTGTGTTCTCAAGTTCCAGTACCGAGCTTCTTCAGACATAGTGCGCGTGCACAGCACCCTCCACTACATGTGAAGGTGTTATCTAGATTTCCAAATCATCATTGTGCTGCATACAGTCCACAGCAACATGCAAATGCCCCTTCAGAGGAATAAATGGCAGAACCCTGCTTGTCTCTGTAGAGGCGGCGAGCACCCTGGCTCACTGTCCCAGCAGAAGCATCTGCCCGTCGGGCCCCAGCGGGAAGGTCGGCCAGAGTCCTGGCAAAGCTCGCAGCTCTTGTCCAGCTGTGGTGACTGACTGCTAATCCCTCCACATAATCTCACCAGGCTCCCCTAGTGACCAGGGGATTTACTTGGGTCCTCTGGTGGCCACAGACCAGAAAAACACCGGATATTCAGAGAGGAGAGGAAAAACCCGACAACCCCTTGCCTTTAAATGAACCCTGAGAGACAGCAGCCCCGCCGGGGAGAGAGGGACCGCCCCATACAGTGACCCAGGCTGGAAGCTTTAAGGAAGCGGACTGTCACTGCTTTCTCTAGTGGAGAAGCTGACAGACTCAGGCCACTGTCCCGCTGGGGAGCAGAGAGGGCTCTAACTCTGTGGCATCAGGGCTCCCTGGACACTGAGCTAGGTTCCTAGGCTCGCTCTAGGTCCCCAGGCTTCCCAGGAAGCAGCCTAACTCGCGTACCTGCTTGGACTTCCAGACCTCGAGCACAGGCATGCCGGCAATGATGGAGTTGGGGTCTTCCTGGGCGGCTGAGTTGACGGTATCATTCGCTCCAATCACGAGGACCAAGTCAGTATCTAAAGCGGGAAAGGGAACGGAGAAGGTGTAGAGCTCGGGTTTTACCTCTTCCCTGGCACATTATAGCGACACGATTTTGGAATCACAGTACTAACAACAAAAACCAACCTTGCTCAGCACGCGCACTGGTGTCCTGTCCCGGGCGCTGCTTGGCCCCATCAGGTCGATGCAGACACCCCACAGCACAACGCACACCCCACCCTGGTCCAGCCTCCCAACTGTTGTGATGTCCAGGTCCACTCTTCCTTTCTTTTTTTTTTATTTTAATGAACATTTACAGAGATTTTGGATTTCCATTCACTCATTCTTGCATTTTTCTCCCTGCCCACCCCTCCTCCCCCAGTTCACTCTTCTCTTTGAGAAGGAAAAGAAAAATTCTGTCATTGGTGTACAATGCCCCCACCCCCCAGTACACTCCACTGTGCAGCCTTCATTCTGGACTCTTGTCATAACCATAATACCCAATCATATATCGCTTTTAAACTCTTATCTCCCTCATCTGTTTCAATGCAGTGTACACAATGTATCCAATTTTTCTCAGTCTCACCCCAACCCTGATATCAGTCCTGTTCTACAACAGTGGCACTATGCAGTATTTGTCCTTTTGTGCCTGAGATATTTCACTCAGTATATTCTCCTCCAGGGTCACCCATTTTTAATAATATCGCATGAGTTCCTTACAGCCAAGGTGTCAGCTCATCTGGTTGAGTGTTCTTCTCACCCTCTACTTCGCCAAGCAAGATGTCCTTCTCCAGGAACAGGCCCCTCCTGATGGCTGTTGTTGGTGATATGAGGCAGCACTGAGCTGAGTATGACGCCTAGCAACCCTATGAACAACAGCCTTTGAACCCTGTCTCTGCCGTCCTCCTCAGCTGACACACTTAAACCCATCACTGCAGTCACTGTGTCAATGAATCTGACTGAGGGGGTCCCTCTCTTTCACTGACCTCCTACCTTTCCAAGCATGCCATCCCTTTCCAAGGAACAGCCTCTCCTAACAACATGTCCAAAGCAGGAGACGGGAAGTTTCACCATCCCTGCCTCCATGGAGCACTCAGGACGCACTTCTTTCCAGGATGCTAGTTCTTTTAGGCGGCCCACGGGATGTTCAGTGCTTCTCCAGCACCACAGCTCAAAGGCACTGATTCTTCTTGACATCCGTACTCACTGTCCAGCCCTCCGACGCATGGCAAGTGACTGAAAAGATGATAGCCCAAACTGGGCACACCTTAGTCCTCAAACTCACATCGCTGCTCCACAATAATTTGGAAAGGTCCCTGACTCTTCCGTATTCCCTGATGTATC